AAAAAAAAAAATTTTTTTTTTTGCAAAAAAAAAAAAAAAAAAAAAAAAAAAAAAAAAAAAAAGAATGCCACCTGTACAAATACCTTTTGATAATAATTTTATTCGTTGTTGTTGTCAAATATTGTTGTTTTTTTTAAAAACGTAAAACAAAACAACAACAAAAAACTTCACCGTATTCACACACGAACAACATACCTGGTTGATTTTTGTTGATAATAATTTGATGAAGGACAACACAGTAACTGTGTTTAATATTCGATTGATGGCTTTTCATCAAATATTATGATTAAATAAGAAAAAAACTAAACTCTAAACGACAAATTTAGATCAATTTTTGGATATCATATCATATCAACAATCAACATCATTTGGGGAAATGAAAATTATGGATTACGTGCGTCGTACATGTGTGTTATGCGTTTGTGTTCGAACCACTTGTATGTTTTAATCATTTTAAAGAATGTATGGCATGCATGTATGAAAAAAGCATTATCAAAATACATCATGTAGTTGATGTCAGAATGGGATATATAAAAATAAATAATGATAATAATAATGATGATAAGGATTACAAATATCAGATATCGATAAAAATATAGGAATGATAAGTATTTCTACAACAAAATTTTAAAAACAATTATTAACTACAGGATTGATTTTAGGATGTTGATAAAAATGAAAAATGAATTTATAAGATAATAATGATTAGCACTTGGTGATTCCATCAGCTAAACTAAATAGGATTAGGATTAAAGATTTTTCAGGATTCAACACAATTATAATATCCATCATTATCGATGAAAATCGATAGTGTTTTTCGAAGAGAAAATGAAACAGGAAGCATTTTTGAATTGAAAATTGAAAAAAAATGGGAAAAAATCACATCGTCACATCACACATATTGAAACAAACTAACCTGCCCTCAAAAATGGTATGATTGTTTTTTGTTTTGTTCTGTTTTTATAGGCAATCAAAACATTAAACAAACAAAACAAAACAGGATAAAAAAGGTAGACATCAACAAAAATGATAAACCAAATAAACCAAACGTCTTTATTGATATCGATGATAATAATGATAAAGATAATAAAAAAACCAGAAGACAATTGAAAATTAGATAAGATCATCATCATCATTGAGGTTGACACAGAATTATAATCAATTTTTTATTTGGATCATCATCATCATCACTACCAGTCATTTTCTTATAAAAATTTTATAAGAAAAAAAAGGATTATAAATTGAAAAAAAAGGACAAAATATAATATTTCCTTATTTGAAATCGGAAAACTGAGCAAAAAAATCATTTCATCATTCACTTGATGGTCGAATATCCATTCATCACTTGTTTGGGGCAAAATGGTTGAGTGAAAATGGCACAAGATGAACTGAAAGAAAAAAATTAATGCATTTTCCATCCATCCATTGATCAAGGAAACTTAGAAAAAAAAAGAGGTTGAATTTATTAAATGATGTGAACTTGTTTTGTTTTGTTTAATTTAGTTTTTTCGGGAAAACAATGGCCGGTTTTTCTATTTCTGTTTGACCACCCATATAAATATGATGGCCAGCAAAGTATGATGATAAGGATGATGATGATGGTCGTAGTCGTGATTGTTTTGAAAAACAAAAAAAAAAGATTAAATTCCTTGATTCAATGATGGTAATTATCATCGTCATGGTGAACTCATATTGAATGACCCTTTCAAGATAATTTACTTTGAATAAGTGTTATTTGTTCCAGATTAATCAAACATCATCTATTTTGCAACTTGAAACAGGAAAAACAAAAACATTCAATTCAAGGTTAAATGATGCAAATCAAATCAATCCAATGAATGATGATTAGCATCATTCGATTCGATTCAAGTTTTTTGTTTTTCTAAGTTTAAATATGGACAGTGATAAGTTGTTGTTGAACAACTTTTCAACTAAAACTTGACTTGATTCCTTCACTATAACCATTCAGTTCGTTCATTCTTTATTCAAAAAGGTCTGATGTTCGACGGTTGATAATCCTGAATAATTTTTGCTATCATCATCATCAATTCAATGAATCAAGAGGCGAACGAACCGCGAAGAAAAAGAAATAAACAAAATCAAGAAAAAATGTCGGCCATCGACCTGTTTTCAGAAATGGTAAAATCAAACAGAACTGGATCGGGGATGACATTTTGATTTTATAAAAATTTCAACAAACATCAGAAGCAAAAGACAATTGGAATTCAAAAAATAGGATGATGAAAACTTGAACTTAATTGATTTTGTTAATGATGATCATTGTAGCAAAATGATGACCAGGTAAATAAGATAAATAAAAATTCGAAAAACTCTTACCTCTTTCTTTGTTGCCCCAATATCTATTTTTAGTCAAAGTTTTTTGTGATTAACAATAAAGTAGGTGATTTTTGCAAATAACAATAAAAATCGTTGAAACGAATGTGAAACGTATCCGACATGGTAAAATCGAACGTTTACACGATTCACTCAAAAAAAATTGTTAATTCTGTATTAAAAAAAGAAAAGAAATGGATAGATGTTTTTTCACTTTGATGATAGAATCGATGATAGGGTCGATGACAATTTATCAATGTGGACTGATGATGATGATGAGATAAGAGATATTGATTGATGATAACAGCAGTCAAAGATTGTTGTCATTTGGCAATGCTGCAGACGGCAAACAAACACAGTTGAATGAGATTATCATCATCACAGAGAAAATGATCAAAGTTTGTTTCGTTTTTTCTTGATTCAAATTTCATAATGAAAACAAAACAAAAAAAGTTTCAATCGATTACAGTTGATGATTTCTTTGAGTTTCATCATCAAAAAGGATCCACATCAAAAAAAGAAATTCGAATGGAATGAACCAAGAAAAAAAATTCTCGTTTGTGTAGAGGTAGCGGTATAACGTAATGATTAAAACTGAGCATTGTGACTGTTGTTGTTGTTGTTTACATAATGTATACGGCAGCGGTGGCCACACATAACCGTTACGCTTCAACGAAAAAAACCATTCTTGTGTCGATGGTCTGTGGTAAAGAAGAGAATTTTTTTTTGGAAAACTGGATTAAAAACAAACTCGACTCGCATTATCTGAAATGCGTTTAGCATATGTTGAGCGCGCTAGCTATGTCCGCGCGTAACATTATAGTCAAAGAGAGAGGGGTTTGGCTAACAAAAAAAAAGCATGTTTCAAAGAAGAAAAGAGAATTAGAATTCGTTTTGCGCAAGTGTGTAATTCTTGAACAATCTTTGATCAATGCGTGTCATCTATTGGTTCACAAACGTAACAAAAAATGATGATAAACGTCATCTATTGTCGAGAAATAGAACAACTAATTTTGATAAAATTAGAATTATTATTACTTGATATAATTATCAGCTTTCTGTACATGTTAAACGTTTCAATTGATTTGGTTTACTAGAACTGGTGATGGGCATATTACTTTTACGATCAAGACCAGTACGAGCAGTTATATGAGTTGATCCACCGGATAATCTGCCGGATGATGGTCGATAATTTCCACGATTGCTTGCCGCCGCCATGGGCATATTAGGTTGATTGGCATGTTGTGAATTTTTATGACTAAAACTATTATGAACTCTTGCAGAAGCAATATGTGTTGATAATTTTGTTAATTTACCGGACATCATAAATGAACGTCCAGTTTTTCCATGCGCAAATGATAGTTGACGACGACGAACCAATATACACCATAATATTATCATTAATATCAATAATAACAATATGATTGCACCGATTATCCAAAAGAAATCTTCAATAAAATATAAAATTAATTCTCTATTCTCCAAAACAAATTCATCAACATTCAGATTTACTTACATGATTTGGAAAGAGCACTTGGTGGAATAATACCGGCACAATTAAAAAAGGAATCATAACTACGTTTTTCCACCGGATATTCTTTACCTTGATTATGATAAACATCTTCACTGAATATATAGATATTTGTACGACCAAATAGATAAAATTTACCATCGGTAACAAATCCCTTTACTATTGGCCAATGTACCGGATTGCCACGAGGACATCTGATTCCTGAAAGACGGCCAACTTGTTGAACAAAAATAGTTAAATTATTATTTGATGTTGATGTTGAACAAATGACTGAATCTCTATCTTCAGGTTTGATTAGTTTAACCTCACGAACACGATTACCTCTTTGACATCGCCAGTGATTCATTAATAAACTATACTTGAACTGTAATGAATAATATTGACATATTTGATTTGTTGATAATAATGCTAATGGATCATTATCCCTACTTAAATATTGCCATCCCCTTATTACTTGAGAATTGTCAATATCATAATTAATACCTCCTTTACCAGTTCGATGATGTGGCGCTAAACAAATCCAATCACTATCCGGATCATTCATAATGAATGCAACTGATATGGCATTTTTAATATGATCGAATCGTTGATCATCAAAAAGTTTTGGATATTTTTCCGACATTTTCATTGGTTGTGTTTTGAGATATAATTTATTAATAGACGAATCCAATGATTCAAGCGGTGTATCATAAACATAGAAATCTTTCGTTATTAATAATAAACGTTTTTGTGTTTTTCCTACGGCCAATATATTCAAATTGCTACCATTGTTTTGTCGTAATCTTTCACAGATTTCCTTTGTTTTGAAAAAAATGAAAATTCCATTCCAACAAAAACAAGCTATACTTACATCTTTTTGTGTTTTAGTGGTTGTCATTGTTTGAATGGGAAGAATGATCATCATTACATGTAGAATGGTTACTAATATCAAATATGATGATGAATTGAACATTATTCAATCACAAAATTGCTTTTGTGATGATGATAACCAAATTGAATGAAAAACCAAACAAAAAACCTTGACCAAAACAATAACGAAACCTTACTTTTCCGACGAAAAATCCTCGTCGATGCTAATTTGTTTTTATATGTTTTTCATTTGTTTTGTTGTTTAATTTGATTTGAATTTTTTGGAAAACAACTTTTTTAATTGAATTCAATTTAACCGAGTTTTTTGCCAAATCGAATTCTTTCCTTTTAACCCTGCGTTAGTTCCTTAACCATGTGTAATTAATGATCTGATCGATCATTTGATTTGAATTTTTGTTTGTTTGTTTGCTGCTTTTGTTAATTACCGCCATAATCAAATCAAATCAATCAAATTAGTACAAATCAAATCAGAATTGATTGATAATCGATCGATCGATTAATCAAGCTCGAAAAAGCAGGAAAAAATTGTTAATGTCATGACTGAATGAATGAAATTGGCCAATCTTGGAAAGATATCGAATTTCTTTGGCCTCAATCTTATCTATTGGCATCATTATTATTTGATTGCACCAAATTAGCTAATTGATGGTAACCGAAAAAAAGCAAAAATCATGAAAAATGTTGACAACGAAATTGGGGCCAATCACGAGATTTCACGTGTGTGTGTATGTGACATATATTGATGCAATCCCGTATATCATATTACCATTATCATGTCAAAACTAAACTAAACTAAATTTGAATGGCTGAATAAGATTAACCTTGAAATCGATTGTATCGATTGATCGATAAGTAATCGATGTGGCTTTGTTTGTTTTTTATTGTTCATATATGTTTTGCAACAATACACAACAAAAATGAACTATGGCTATGACTATGATTCATAGTTGAGTGAGGTTAGGTTGATGACCATGACTATGACTATGACTGTGATTCATAGTCGAGTGAGGTTAGGTTGATGACTATGACTATGACTATGACTGTGATT